AAAGTCTCATTTTATTGCCCTTAGTAGAGTGCCATGGCATCACACAGCTCACAGCAACCTCCAACTCCTGGGCTTAGGCGATTCTCTTGCCTCAGCTTCCTGAGTAGCTGGGACTACAGGCACCCACCACAATGCCCGACTATTGTTTGTTGCATTTCAGCCAGGGCCAGGTTTGAACCTGCCACCCTTGGTATATGGGCGTGGTGGCCTACCCACTGAGCCACAGGCTTTGCCTTATTTTTTAATTTTTGAGACAGAGTTTCAGTCTGTCATCCAGACCAAAGTGCTGTGATGTCATCATTGCTCACTGTAATCTCAAATTCCTAAACTCAAGTGTTCCTCCTTCCTTAGTCTTCTGAGTAGCAGGGACTACAGGTGCATGCCACACTGCATGGCTAATTTTTAAATTACTCATAGAGATAGAATCTTGCTATGTTGACCAGGCTGGTCTTGAACTCCTGTTTTCAAGTGATTGTCTGCCTCAGCCTCCCAAAGTGCTGGGATTATAGGAGTGAGCCAGTGCACATGGCCTATTTTTAGATGAGATACTATCTAATTCATAAATTGCAAATAAAAGCTAATAAAATAATTTCACTAAATTTGTTAAAATGCTCTTTTTTTTTTTGAGACAGCGCCTCAAGCTGAAGCTATAGGAATCTCCCTGATTTTCAAAGAGGGCTTTGAAGGATTGAAGGGTACCTGACTGACTCAATGCGCAGCCTGGGATCCAGCTCTTTACCTTTCTGGGCCTCAGTTTTTCTGTCTGTACAAGAGGTTCGGACAGCTGGCAGTTGAGCATAAGTCTGTCTCCAGGCAGAACATTTGGGCAGTATTTGGACAGAGGGGGAAATTGAGACCTGATAGGCTCCACCCCAGAGAACACCTGCAGCCAGTGCATGCTCCTAAGCTATTGAGGTGGGGAGTGGAGTTAGGGCAAGGGTGACAAGGTCAGATGGGGGAATCTGTAGGTGGCAGAGATGGGCGATAGCCAGCCAGGTTTATGTCTCAAAAGGTTAGGAGCTGGGGGAAGGCAGTAGAGCTCACCCTCAGGGCCTATGGGAACGGCTGTGCTTACCCTGGTGAACTGCCTCCATGTGCTCCCAAGGTACTTGGGGAATCCAAGTGCTGACAGGGTTGTCCCTAGTCAGATCACACATGAAAAACATGGAAGAGGCTTGGCGCCTGTGGCTCATGTGGCTAAGGCGCCAGCCACATACACCTGAGCTGGTGGGTTTGAATCCAGCCCGGACCCACC